ACACAGTAAGTACACCATCAGTCACCTCGTGTAAAGTAGCTGTGTGAAATAAGGCTACCTTTTATGCAAGTTTACACCATCATATAATGAATGTATTAGTACTATTTTATTACGTCTTGTCCCTGATATGTTGTAGGGAGTGGACCTGAGGCAATATTCCAAACAAGTGGAGAGGGAGCTACTGGATGTGGAGAATGCCTCCATACAGGACTGTATCCTTTATAACAACAGATTCTGTTCACATCAGTTGACATGATGACCATCAGACAGACTTTCTGCCTGGTTAACTCAGATTACTTGATTCCAGTCAAAGTGTATTGCCAGAGCGATTGTTACCATGATTCATTTAGTTGCGATCAGATTGACTTGGTTCTTGTTAGATTGATGTGGTGCCCTTTAGACTGGCTTGCTTTCTATCAGATTGACTTGGTTCTTGTCAGATTGATGTGGTTCCCTTTAGACTGGCTTGCTTTCTATCGGATTGACTTGGTTCTTGTCCGATTGACTTAGATCCCATAAAATTGACTTGGTTCCTGTTGGATAGACTTGGTTCCATTAGATCAGTTTATTTTCGAGGTAGTTTTTGTGAAATTTTGTTCAAGCTGTTTGAGTTGCCCTCTTTGTAAGATTGGTGATTCCTTATGTGGTACAGACATCAAGGAGAGCCAGAACATCGCCAGTCTACACAAACAGATCGCGGCTTGTGACACCATTCTGGAGGTGAGCGTTACTGACAAGCATCAGATACTGCTATTGATTGTAATTTGAAAACTACTTGTTAATGCTGGAATATATTTCATTTTAACAGAAAGTTTTCAAGAAACTTAAGAAACCAAAAAATGAACTTGTGTGAAACAATATGATAATGACATAATTTTGAAAAGAAGAACTAGATCTGCTTAAGATGTGTTCAGTACAAATTGGTAACATTCTTTTTGTGTGTTTTTTTAAGGGTGGGGGGTGGGGGGCATACTGGAATGAGGATGTCAACATGTGGATGGAAGACTGTCTGACAATACACTGACTGAAGTTTGTCTGACAATACACTGACTGAAGTTTGTCTGACAATACACTGACTCTAAAGTCAAGATATTTGGACACAACATGTAGACCAGCAATGTGAATCTTTTTTGCATACATTTAGGTAAAAGATCATCTATGAGAATTAATCAGGGTCAATGTTTTAACAGTACAATTTAAGCATGTTTTGTTCTGATGACAGAGAATGGAGCAAATGCTGAATGGTTTCCAGGGTGACCTCAGCAGCATCAGTAGTGAGATCCAGACTCTACAGGAACAGTCTGTCACCATGAACGTCAAGTTAAAAAACCGACAGGTAAATGTTGCATGTAATACAGGTAAACGTCACATGTAGTGCAGGTAAATGGCACTCATAGTACAGGTAAATTTCACGCGTAGTACAGGTAAACGTCACATGTAGTACAGGTAAATGTCACTCATAGTGCAGGTAAACGTCACATGTAGTACAGGTAAACCTCATGCGTAGTACAGGTAAACATCACATAGTATAGGTAAAAGTCACACATAATACAGGTAAATGTCACGCATAGTGCAACTAAACATCACATGTAGTACAGGTAAACTTCACACATAGTACAGGTAAATGTCACGCATAGTACAGGTAAATGCACACATAGTACAGGTAAACATCACATATAGTACAGGTAAATGCACACATAGTACAGTTTAACGTCACAATAATACAAAAAACGCCATGTGTAATACAGGTAAACATCACATATAATACAGGTAAACGTCACACATAGAACAGGTAAATATCACACATAGTACAGGTAAACATTACACAATGTAGTACAGCTAAACGTCACACAATGTAGTACAGGTAAACGTCACACAATGTAGTACAGGTAAACGTCACACAATGTAGTACAGGTAAACGTCACACAATGTAGTACAGGTAAACGTCACACAATGTAGTACAGGTAAACGTCACACAATGTAGTACAGGTAAACGTCACACAATGTAGTACAGGTAAACGTCACACAATGTAGTACAGGTAAACGTCACACAATGTAGTACAGGTAAACGTCACACAATGTAGTACAGGTAAACGTCACACAATGTAGTACAGGTAAACGTCACACAATGTAGTACAGGTAAACGTCACACAATGTAGTACAGCTAAATGTCACACAATGTAGTACAGGTAAACGTCACACATAGTTTAGGTAAATGTTACACACATACCATGTATATGTCTCACATTTGAAGTCAATGACACATTTCTGTAACCATGAATATCAGAAAAGAATTCATTTACTACAGTATTGTATTGTGTTACAGGCCGTGAGAGGTGAGCTGAGTCAGTTTGTGGACGAGATGGTTATACCAGAGACAATGATCAAGTGAGTCAATACCTGTTCTTCAACTGTATACAAATAATACTCTAAATACCCTGTTTCAATTTTCTTCTTGGATATTTACAGGCATCAGTCTATATTTTTAAAGTTTAACAGGTGACATAATTAAAAAAGTTAAAGTGTAATATACAGGCATTAGCCCTACAATTAAAATGTACTGTGTTGGTTACTGTAAGTGCTAAATGGCTGGGTGATGTACTGTGTTGGTTACTGTATATGCTAAATGGCTGGGTGATGTACTGTGTTGGTTACTGTATGTGCTAACTGGCTGGGGGATGTACTGTGTTGGTTACTGTATGTGCTAACTGGCTGGGTAATGTACTGTGTTGGTTACTGTATGTGCTAACTGACTGGGTGATGTACTCTGTTGGTTACTGTATATGCTAACTGGCTGGGTGATGTACTGTGTTGGTTTCTGTATGTGCTAACTGGCGGGGTGATGTACTGTGTTGGTTACTGTATATGCTAACTGGCTGGGTGATGTACTGTGTTGGTTACCGTATGTGCTAACTGGCTGGGTGATGTACTGTGTTGGTTTCTGTATGTGCTAACTGGATGGATGATGTACTGTGTAAGTTACTGTATGTGCTACTGTGTTGGTTACTGTATATGCTAAATGGCTGGGTGATGTACTGTGTTTGTTACTGTATGTGCTAACTGACTGGGTGATGTACTCTGTTGGTTACTGTATATGCTAACTGGCTGGGTGATGCACTGTGTTGGTTACTGTATGTGGTAACTGGCTGGGTGATGTACTGTTTTGGTTACTGTATATGCTAACTGGCTGGGTGATGTACTGTGTTGGTTACCGTATGTGCTAACTGGCTGGGTGATGTACTGTGTTGGTTTCTGTATATGCTAAATGGCTGGGTGATGTACTGTGTTTGTTACTGTATGTGCTAACTGACTGGGTGATGTACTGTGTTGGTTACTGTAAGTGCTAACTGGCTGGGTGATGTACTGTGTTGGGTACTGTATATGCTAACTGGCTGGGTGATGTACTGTGTTGGTTTCTGTATGTGCTAACTGGCGGGGTGATGTACTGTGTTGGTTACTGTATATGCTAAATGGCTGGGTGATGTACTGTATTGGTTACTGTATGTGCTAACTGACTGGGTGATGTACTCTGTTGGTTACTGTATATGCTAACTGGCTGGGTGATGCACTGTGTTGGTTACTGTATGTGGTAACTGGCTGGGTGATGTACTGTTTTGGTTACTGTATATGCTAACTGGCTGGGTGATGTACTGTGTTGGGTACTGTATATGCTAACTGGCTGGGTGATGTACTGTGTTGGTTTCTGTATGTGCTAACTGGCTGGGTGATGTACTGTTTTGGTTACTGTATGTGCTAACTGGCTGGGTGATTTACTGTGTTGGTTACTGTATGTGGTAACTGGCTGGGTGATGTACTGTTTTGGTTACTGTATGTGCTAACTGGCTGGGGGATGTAATGCATTGGTTACTGTATGTCCTAAATGGCTGGGTGATGTCCTGTGTAAGTTACTGTATGTGCTAACTGGCTGGGTGATGTAATGCATTGGTTACTGTATGTCCTAAATGGCTGGGTGATGTACTGTGTAAGTTACTGTATGTGCTAAATGGCTGGGTGATGTACTGTGTTGGTTACTGTATGTGCTAACTGGATGGATGATGTACTGTGTTGGTTACTGTATGTGCTAACTGGCTGGGTGATGTACTGTGTTGGTTACTGTATATG